CAAATCTATCTTAAGTATGATTTTCATATTTAAGAGTAAGGGCATGTTAAATGAAGTTGCACCTTTGAGGTCTACTGAGATGACCTAAAAACCTGCCAGACACACACACAAAACAAAAAGCAAAAAACAAACAAACAACAAACAAACAAAAAAAAGGAAAGGAAATGATATGTGTTCTGCTTTGGAGGGTCTGTGCTGTGTCTCAGGAGAGGCTTTGTCTGGGAGCAGTCCTTCCCCAAAGTGGGGAAAGTGGGTGGGAAAATCACAGTTGAAAGGGATTACGCTTAAATTATTATCAACGTAGTTCAGTAAATAGTGGAGAAAAAATGGAAATAAATTTCAAATGTATGAATTACTTTTATCCTTGAAATGAATGAGTTTATTTAAAACACTGTTTTGGAGCTCAGTGCACATAATAAAAATAGGACGAACTTTATAACCATTTGCAGTGACAACCTGAGAAAACTTTAAACTAATTTCTTTCTTCAGTTGAAATACATGGAAAACAAAACAAAAACCAAAAAACAAAACAAACAAACAAAAATCAATGCAGAAAGCACTGGCCCTGAAAAAGTAAAGGGATCCCTGGAAAGAGTTTTCTTTCATGGCACACATGGCACTATGGTGTGGGTAAGCATTATACTTGGACCATTTGTCTGCATGTGCAGCGATGGAGAGAGTCGAGAGGAAGACTTTCTGTGTGGGCTGTCAGGTCATCAATAAAAGCTTGTTTCATACTGACAAGGTTAAAAAATTATGTTAGATAACATAAGAGAGTTTCCTATGAAGTCATATTATACTCATATAGTCGTATGTGCTAGATATTGATGAGTGTCAAACACTCTGTTCATCTAGGTAACCCTCATGACAACCATGAAGTAGGTACTGTTCTTATTTGGTTCCCATTTGATGAAGTCTAGGGACCCCACATCACTTGCACAGCATTAAGCCTCTTGTAGAACTGAGGATCATGTGAGCCTAAGACCCAGAGCCGTACCTCTAACTCTGAGCATTGCCCTTATTCCTTGAATGTCAAAAGATCATATACAGTTTCCTTTCTTCCAGCTTTACAACATGACCAGCTTTCTCTTCTTTTTTTTGTTATTGTCTTTCAACCTATTTCCATGAAATTTTTAGAAGCTAGTCTTAGAAGTATTTTCCATTGACTGCTCAACAGAAAAAGACCCCACTCTCTGGAGCTGCTCCTCACAGTAGGCAGGAGTGGCCTGTTTTCTTTTTAATCAGTTACTACAAGGAGTTGCTGACTTTTGATAGGCTGCCCAAAGGGGCTGTGGATTGATTGGCAGAGGAGTCACCACACTGATAGGGGAAGTATTGCAGAACTAGAAGATCAAGGAGGTCTCTGGCTTGCTGTAAGGTTTGACCTCATGATATTCCTGTGTATTGAATAAAAACATTTCAAAATGTCAAACAAAGAGCACAATTCAAGTAAGGTGGATGACCTCTCAGTATAGCACTGTGATGTGGGGTGCGCAGAAGGAAGGGCACCGCACTGCATGTCTGGGTACTGCACTGGAGCAGTATGGCCTTGTACTGGTTAGCTTCTCTGGACCTCATTGTCTTTGTCTTTGAAATAACATGGGGCTAGGTGATTCCTAGTGCTTACAAGGTCCTGTCCAGGCTCCCCAAACCTCAATTCTATGCAACTTCTTCCATGATTTTACACTCCTTTAATAAAAAGCCATAGTCAATCAAGAGGTTTTCTGAAGACTTTTTATTTCTCCAGCTCTCTCCTTTTGTACCATATTTCATTTGGTGAGTTAAAATACCTTTTTCTGAACAGCAACAACAGAAAGCTCCTCTTCTCCCCAGGCCTTATCCATATTTTTGAGCATATTTTCTGACTTTTCTATTCTAAGTCTTATTCTCCCATGGAAATAGTTTCTACATTCTTTCTTACTTGTACTCTTTAATTCCAATTCCACTTTCAACTCGTGTCAAGCAATCATCAGAAGAAGCTATATGAAAGATTGGGAAATTGAAATGTATCATTAAAATTAGCTCAGGAACTTAAAATATATGAGAGAAGGGGAAGCCTAATATAGGGAAATACAATTTCGTTCGCTGTATTTTAGCTTGCCTTTCTGTCATTTTATGAGGATGTTAGAGAGAAGTATCTAATGTAAATGGTATGTGATAGGACCACAAAAGTCCATGTAAGGTCATGTCCAACTTTGACAAAATTATTTCTAAAATAACTTTTAATGCTGATTTCTTTAATATAATGAAAGTTGTGGACTTAAGCTGTCTGCCTCTAGGTGGTGATGTGCCTTTGGCTGTAAGTTGTTCTTTTACACTGATCTGACAGATATATGCTTGTGGGACTGATGTCATTATTACCCTGACAGGTACAGCTGAGAGGGTGGTTAAATGGAAGAAATATGGAGAATTCATTGGTAGTAAATTCTCCACATAAATAGTGCCAATATGTTCAGACTAAGTGGGTACTAATTATTTTAACAAATAGTTAATGAAGAACACAATGTGAATCAAAAGCTGTGGAATGTTTTTATCATGGGTTTTACATATTTGCCTAAGGTGGACCATTTTTATTTGACCTTTTACACACATCTGGCTGTTAGAGAGTTTACAGATCTTGAGATTAGAATGAAAGAGAATCAGCTGGATTGTAGTAGGCAGTAAAGAACCAATATTTTAGAGCCAGATGTGGTGGTGCCTGCCTGTAATCTCAACACTTGGGAGGCTGATGCAGGTGGGTCATTGTAAGTTTGAGCCCCCACTGGGGCTATAAAAGCAAGTTCAAGGCCAACCTGGGCTACATGGCGAGACCCGACCCGGTGTCAAAAAACAAAAACAAAACAAACAAACAAACCCAGATATCTTGGCTTCCACTGGTTTTATATAGCATGATCACTGGATAAGACACTGAAATAAATACTATTCAAGAGAAGTGATTATCACCACTACACAAAATGTTAAAGCTTTAAATAGGATGGTTTTTTCAAGGCCAATCAACTTAGATTAAAACTGCGGGTTGCTTATATGAACATTTATAATTAGAAACACTTTTTGATACCTGGCTTGATCAGAAGTTTTTGCTGTGGTTGTGAGAACCACTGACCCAAGTCAGTGCCCCAAATGGTCTCTGATTATCAGGCTACTCTTCCTTACTCCCTTTCACTTAGTCACTGTTTGCTTTCATTTAACAGCTACTTATATTCAGGCTGTCTGGGGTTTAAAGTACTTGGCTCCAGTCTATGAACAAAGAGTGACTTCTTTCTTGGTGGATTTCTTCTACATACTTCATGAAGGTGAAGGATTGGAGTGTTGTGATGTTTTTCTCCTCTAAACTTCAAACATAATTACTGTGCATTTATCTTACTGGAGAAATGAGTTTTTGTAATAGAAGTTGCTCTTCATAAATGAAGGTACATAGCAAAAGTAAGCTGGAAAACTTCTTAATGTACTGGAGTTCGGAGGATTGTGTCATACTTCTATGACCAGTAGATAAGCCAGTTGTTATTAAGAGTTTTGCTGGATCTCCCCCCAACTCCACTAAACACCTTTTCATGAAGTTAGTTATAGCAGGGGAAAAGACTGGGCTCTCTCAGTATAGTTTTTTTCTGAAAAATCTGTGTTGAACTGAAGGAGAAAGTGCATCTCACATCTCAGTGTTGATCAACAAGGGATTGAAACCCACTGTACTTTGAGTCAGCTGTGTGGGTTATGTCCTATGACAGCAGGCAGACTAGTCTTTCAGAGGAGTGGTTAAGAGTATGGATTATGGAGCCTGATGGCCTGGTTCTAATCAAGTTTGGGTATTCATTGGCTCTGCAAACACAAGGAAATGGTTTAATCTTCTTGGGGCCCAGGTTCCTAACAAGAAAGAGAAAAAATATTCTCAGCCAGGTGCTATTGGGATCATATAAATTAATTTATGTAGATACCTAAAACAAAGCTTGACACATAGTCAACACTCCAATGTTAGGTATTGCTAAATATTGTTCCTCACTGACTATCTTTTTTAACTTTGGTCAGTTACTTTCTTTTCGTGTCTTAGCTTTTTAAAATGAGCCTGATAAACATCATAGCCACCTAGAACTGAGGTGATAAAATTATATAATTTTCTGGGAACAAAGACTGTCGCACTTTCATGAAATTGTGTTGGCACTTGTGGATATTGAGAGGATGTTTGTAATTCTGCTCCAGGCATGGTATAAAAAGGCCAACAACCCCTTCTAGCTTATGTCTTAATTTTGCCCAAGTCTGTTGTGGGTCCTGGAAATTTGTTTGGGGAATCAGTCAATAGATATATTGGAAAAAATGAAGAGTTCTTACTTGAAAAAGAAAAACATTGAGTATGTACTGTATCTACCCCCACAGTCCTGTACTATTAGATGGTTTGGGTGCTTTTAGGAAGACTGATTTTATGATGTGATGTGATGAGTCCTTCTTTCCACAGCCTTGAAGAAACGGAAGTCTGTTTTTTATCAGTGGACATTTCCTGTAAAAGACACCACTGAATTTTTCTGTGTTAGTGGTTCTTTTTCTCCCATTCAGGCTTTCACACTGAATCCACAGCCCTTTTTATTTTTTTATTTTGAGACAGTGTCTCAGTAAGTCATTAAGTTGCCCAGGCTGGATTCTTGCCATCTGCCCAACAATTAATCCTCCTACTTTAGACTCTTAGAGTGCTGGGATTACCGGCGTGTGCCTCCATGCCTGGCTTCTAATGGCTTTTTGATTTAGTTTACCTCAGTTCATAATCCTCAAATATACTAGTATCACGGTGAAACAGGATAGTATTTGTTTAAGTAGAAGATCAATTCAGAGTTTAGAAGGTGCTCTCTTACTTTTCCCACAGAGGATATAATGATATGTACCTTTTGTGTAAGAGAGAGTTCCATTGGAATACATTGCTAAAAAATGTATTATTTCAATCAGAATTGCTACATATTAATATTTGTGAGCACTGAATACTGGAATACATGGCTTGTCAGTGTATGACCTATAGCCATTCCCAACTGCAAATACAGCAGGACTGTCATTGTGCTGGTAGCTGTGACTTTTATTTTGCAGAAGAAATTGCTATTTGTGTTTAACACTTCATTACAGTCTTACTGGAACTCTGCTCAAAGATAGTCATAACTATTAAGCCAGTTTGACTTCTCAGTTCAGCATAGTACCCTTTTTATCAAAAGATGCCTGCTCAATGGACTGGATTTTAAAAACACTGAGATCTTTGGGTGTGACAAGAAGCCATCCCCAAAGGTAGCTTGGCAGCCAGGAAGCGGGGGTGTAATTTTTCCCCTATCCTTAATTTTCCAGGCTCCCAGCATATAATCAGAGTGGTAGAAATTATATACTGATCTAATGTTTGGAGTTCTTTTAATAGTTCCATTTTTATTTTAGGCAAAATGGGTCTGTGATAGAGACCTGGCTGATAGACATCTTTCAGGTACTTTGTGCTTTAGGGGAATACGGATCCTTTAGGATCTTTGATGAATTACTTTACCTGGTCCTGTGTTGCATCTTGTCATGCCAGGGTTCACTTGGTTGGGAAACAAGAGAGGAACAGTGCCCTCCTGTCACTAGGATTCCTAAGGAATTCAGGAAGTCATAACTGTTGAACAGGGAGAAGCCTGACATTGGCACAGGAATGCAGAGGGTAATCACTTCCGCAGGCAGGGCCTGTTTATTCTACCACCTTATGGCTGGTGGACACTGGGCGTGGTGGGCACGCTTGCCTAAGTACCTGTTGCTGAATACTGCAACTGCCAGAGCCAAGCTAAAAAGGCAGTAACCTGAAACCAGTCCTGTTGGTTTTCCTTCTGTTGCCTGAAGCTAAAATCTGCATTCTAAATGAAACCTGCAGGGAAACAGAAGAAAGCATTAAAAAAAAAAAAAAGTTTAAGAGCAGTAAATTAACGGCTTTGAAAGTTGTGGGCATTTTGAGATGATCTCTTTTCTTTTCATTTTAATTTTGTTTCTTAGCGTAGAGCTTTGTAAGTGGCTATTGAAGTGGGCCACTGCCAGTTCTTTGGCTTGTCTGATCACAGTCCAGGAGAACTCACAGAAGGCAGTATTCAGTCATTTTTTGCTGATTCACTTCTGAATCCCTTGGGCTGGACTGAGGGTGGTTGAGGGCTGTCAGTGCCGGCTCAGCACTTCCAGTAACCTTAACTTGCTCACCAATGAGGAAGTTGAATGCAACCAGGAGAAGCGCAAGCTCTGGGGCGGAGCTCCTCCTGAAGTCCCGGGCTGGGATTACTTACTGGCCAACGACAAAAAGCCTTTTGTCCTGGGAAATAAATACGGAAGTCCCAGAAGAGCAGCCTCCCCTGCTGTGTGTAGTAAGGTGCGCAGCTTGTGCTGCCTCTGGGCACAGAGCTCCACAGGCGGTTCATAGTTGCCCTAGACACCCTGCCTGTCGTCGGGCAAACCGGAAGGGAGGGCACAGTGACCTGAAAGAGACCAAGTGTGTTCAGAGCTGCTGAGAGACTGGCTCCCTCCCTCCTCCTGTTGTTCCCTGTCCTGTAAGTTAAGAGCAGATGGAGTGGATAAACTGAGAGCGTGGGGAAAGTAACTCAAGTCAGAACTTCCACCAAGGGCACTGCAGAGGCATGGAGGAGGCTGGTAGCTCTCTAAATGGCAGTGATGTGTTGGAGCCAGAAAAACCAGAAGCTGGACTTGAAGTGGCTCAGTCGATCCTGAGTAAGTTCTCTATGAAATCCCTGTTTGGATTTACAAGTAAATTGGAATCTGTGAAGCCTGAAGAGGATGATGCTGTGCTGAAAGCTTTCCACAGTTTAGATGTCACACAGCAAGATGAACTCAGCAATGGTTTGGATCTTCAGGAGGAGGAGAGTCCAGTTCCACCTGAGTTTAAAAATGATGGGGATACTGCCAGGAGGGAGACAGAATTGGGGGAAAATCACCAGGAAGCAGAAGCCGGGACTTCCCTCCATGGTCAAGAGCATCTTGCACTTACTGCTTTGAGCATGGGCAAAGAGGATGTCTTTTGGGTCCGTGGGACCCTTGTGCACACGACCAGCGACACTGACTCTGATGATGGTGACCAGGAGCTGGAAGAAGGAGGCCACACCAGTGACCCTAAGTCTTCCAATGTTGTTTTGACTGAGTCATCTCAACAGCCCAAAGAAAAATTAGGAGACTCTAGGGAAATCATTGCTACTGGGGAAATGGATGGTTCAGAGCTGTGTGCAGAAGGTCCTGAAAGGACTCCAACTGGGATTAGTGCCCTAGAACCTGGAGATGGTAGCCTTCAGATGGAGCACAGCTTCATCCCAGGCCATGCAGGCGAAGGGTCCCAAGACCCACCTACAGCAACACACCAGAATTTGAGTACTGGTGCCACTGAGCCCATGTCTTCTAGAAGAGAAGTTCTTGGAGAGAAGTCATTCCAGCTTCCAGCTTTTTTCAGTGGGCTTCGTGTGCTGAAGAAGGGGGCAGTGGAGGTGAAGGAAACCACCATCACTGAAATTAAACCAAAGGATGGAGACCTGGCTTTGCTCAAGTTGACCCAGCCTGTTCAGAAGTCTCTGGTGCAGGCAGAGCCACGGGCAGTGAAAAGCAGTGAGAGAACAACTGACCCGAAGGCCACTCCCACTCTCCTGGAGCAGCTCTCTCAGCTGCTCAGCATTGACATGCCCAAAGCTGAATCCAAGGCAGCAGACCCCGAGTCACCCAGGGGCGGAGAGATAGGCTGCAGTGCTGACCAGGAGGGCCAGTATGGCTCTGGAGATGCTCAAAGCCAGAGTGGTGAGGTCAAACCCAAGCCCCCAGAGACTGCGCTGGAGGCCTTTAAAGCCTTATTCATCCGTCCCCCCAAAAAGGGGACCACAGCTGACACTTCTGAACTGGAAGCTCTCAAGCGCAAGATGAGACATGAGAAGGAGTCACTAAGAGCTGTGTTTGAACGGTCCAAGTCAAGGCCAGCAGATGGTCCCTCCGACTCCAAAACCGTATGTAGTACTGGGTTTTGCATTTTGTCGTACAATGAGATGCTAAGATTTTCCAGATTTCCAGTTAAAATGAATCTCAGTGGCCTGGAATTAGTATTCTCTTTCAGGTGAAAAATGAGTAAAATAAAATTAAATGTCCTTAGAAGGAATACTGCCTCGGACAGAAATGCTTTTCTTCCTCATACTTTTCTAGCATATAATGAAGGACGTACGTAAAGCTATGTGGGTAGGAAGAGGAAATGTTCACTGAGGCTCAACATCAGTAATAACTGTACTTATAAAATCTTAGCACGGTAATGCAATGTGGAATTTGGAAGTGATGTAATGTGGAAGTTTAGTCCAGATTTACAGGAATTCTGCACTGTCTGATTATACCTCTTTGAAAACTATGATTTCTTTGAAAGTTTGCCACTTTGCAAAATACATGTTTGTGATGTGATTGAAATGTTCGATGTTGGTTGTAAGACTTCCTGACGGAGTACAGAGAGGTAGGTTTTAATTCTGACTCTGTCATTTACTGGCTGGGTGACCTTGATAATCTGAAATCCTCAGTCTTCTCATGTGCAAAATGAAGAAAATGCCCTTTACTTTTATGGTTATTATGAGGATGAAATTAAGTTAGTGTATGAGAAGCATCTAATTAAAAAAAGTTATTAAAGAATATTGAAGTAGGAAATTTGTGAAGCACCTGTCCAATAGATATTAAAAGTTTATAAAAACAATGAATATAATTTCTTGCTTAATACAGTTCACTGTATGTTTATCATTCCCTTTAACTGAAGGGAATGATAATGTTTTAACATTATCATGTTAAAACATTAAAAAATAAAGTCTTAAGAAAAGTTATCTCAGGTTATAGTTAGAAACTAAGCACAATATAGGATTCTCCTTCGGAAAATCATCTCCTATAAAAATTTTGCATATGAAAGTAATTGAATAATTTTTTAATAAGAAAGAAAACATTGAAATTAACAGCATGGGATGCTTAGAGAAATATGTCTTGGCTTATCATTAATGTCCATAGAAAATTCAAAATAAGTTCTTATTACTATAAATAATCCTGGAGCTCTTTGGAATATATTAGTAAGCATTCTGGTAAGTGTATGTGAGTATAGTAAATTTGTGTCTATATCTGCAGCTTAAAGTTTAGTTTTGCTGTAAAAAATATTTTATAATAAAAGTAACCTAATATATTGTATAGCATTTATCCTTGAATTTTTTGGTTTTAACTTTTTTTATGTTCTGGTAAAGGATGACAGCATAGTCAGATGTGTCAGTTGCACTGAATGTTAACAATGTGCAACTGGCCATTAAAATTAAAATTAATATTAAATTAATGTAGGTATGTTTGTTTTTATTTATTAATGGGTACTGGCCATTTTGTTTTAACTTACTCTCTGCCCACTTTTCAACAGCCTGACCAGAGCCCCACAGAGCCAGACGACAGGACTCCTGGCAGACTCCAAGCTGTCTGGCCACCCCCAAAGACAAAAGATGCAGAAGAGAAAGTGGGACTGAAGTACACTGAAGCAGGTAATGGGAAAGGAAGCTGAGAACCCAAGAATGAATTTCTTCTTGCAATAGCTTTTAGTCTTAGTTTAGAAGACTCTCAGAATTTGGTGTTTTGTTTCCTTTTAAAATGTAATGGTGAAGGCGTCTTCTCTTGCTTGATTTTGCTTTAAGTGAACCTCTTTGCACATTTACTGCTAATGCATCTTTTAGAGATGAAAGGTGAATGCAGTGGAATGAATGCAAGGGGGCATAGGAGTCAAGTTGGGCAGCCTTTTGGGAATGAACTGAGCAGGTAAATTACAAATTCCTCAGGAAGCAGGTGGTTGGTACTCATATAATGTTTTTGTGAGCTGGCAGAATTACTAAAACAGGGAGAGTATGATTCTCTGGAGCTGTAAACTGATTTGTTGTTTGTCTCTGGGTAATGCTTTTGAGATAAAGGAACCTTTTGCAGAGTGAATGTACAGATACCATATCAGTTACTTGTTCACTTTTGCTAGACAAAGCTTTATTTAATGCATGGCCAATTTTAAAGCAATCTAACTCTCTGGAAAACTTCCCAGGAACTTTACTTGAATCTATTTAAAAGGAATAGGAATCTAGGTATTTTAGAAAGGATCATGTGAAATTAAAGTGTAGAATTAGAGATGGATATAATTTAATTCTCTGTCTCTGTGTGTATGTGTGTGCATGGGTGTATGTGTGTGTAACATACACCTTTTTACTATACCTTTTATACACCTTTTTCTATACCTTTTTACTTTCAAAAGATACAGATATTTTGATATTTGGTGGTTGGTTACCTATTGAAAAAGTCCAGACACCTTTGGTATGGTATGCTTTCATTTTGTTATAAATTAAAGGAACTCAAAATCAGTAAGAGTTATTACAGGCTATACTATATGCCTTCTTGTCTGTGTGGCTGATGCCTTCTGGCTTTACATTGAGTTTTAATTTTCTTGAATATATTTGGTTTAAGACCGTATAAGGACAATATACACGGTAAAAGACATAGAATGATTAAGAAGTCAGCAAAAATAAAGGTATTTTGTTTTTTGGTCTCTAAAAAAAATTGAAAACTCAGTGTAAAGCCAGAAGGCATCAGCCATACAGACAAGAAGGTACAGGTACAGCCTGTAATACCAAACTGTCTAGACACTGGACCTGCCTGGGACCTAGTCCGCTGAGCCTAGAGAACAAAGGAGTGTAAATGATTCTTTTTTTAACAGGAGAATTTTTTAAACTGATTGGGACCAGAATAGTGGGCAATGGTATTTAATAAAGTGTCTAGGTGTGATGACAAAGTTCAGCCTATCTTCACGCATATTAAGGATGTTTTCTAGTTGTGCATGGATGCTGGCAACTTAGTAAAGTTTGACAATTGTTTTAATGTGTAAAGTTAAGCTTAGGTTTATAAAAGCTGGTAAACTGGATCTTTGTCATTTGCTTTTAAAAGAAAAAGAAAATAAATGTGAACATGTTTGGTGCATTCTTTCCCGAGTGGGATCTGCAGTCTTCCTGTCTGTGCATTTTGTGCCTGAGCTTCTTGTGTCCCTTCATCGGTGCTTCATTTTATCACTAAGGCGGGTGCTGAATGTAAGCTATATCCAGACTATATAAAGCCCGCTTATTTATAAATGATTTAGCAATTGTTTTGAACATTTCTGTTGGGGAGGGAAGAAGTTTGGGTGGTGCAGGAGATTTCTTTGCAGTATCACTGAATTACTTCAGTGGTTTAGAACATATTGCCAGGTGAATCTCAAGACTGTTTCTAGCCTCCATGTATGCATAAGCTACAAACTTGTGACTTCCCCAAGAGATTAACTCCTTTATACAATTTTATTTTCTCCAGTATTTGATTTACAGGATATAATTATTATATACTTAATTAAAATATATACAGGTATCTTAGTCTTCTTAGCCACCTTTGATTTTCCAAAACTGAAGCATGCTAAACCTTTCCAAGTTATTTTTCTCATCATCTGACAAAGCGTGAGTGATCTAATTATACTCAAGTTTGCTTTAAAAAAATAATCTACAAGTTCTTACTGCTAGTCTACTTTGGTGATCTTAGTCTGTGTCAACCAGTGTGTTAAGGAAATCTCCCTGAACAATAGGCATTTGCTGACTAGAGAAGGAATAAATGTCACAGTTGCCTTTTAAATCCACCAGAATATTTTAGGGCTATTGTCTTTCTAGAGATATTCCTTAGTCTTTGCTATCCATCTTATTCCATTTCCAGAAGTTCAGAGGAAAATTTCCCAGTAGTGGGTTTCCCAGTCTTCGTTGACTGATATATTCTCAGAGCTGTTTATGGTCTTAGATGAGACAGGAAAAAGAGAGGAAAGAAGGCACTAATAATTAGTCTGACTCTGCGAGGCCATTGCACAGTGAGACAGAGAAGACCAGCCTTGGTCTGGAGAAGGTGTCTGGCTCCCCGGCCAGCCGCTGGGGATGGCGGATCTATGACAGACTCACTGGGCCTCCTGGTTTGGTGCTCAGTAATCTGCTGATATACTTAGGGTAGGAGGATTTCCAGAGAAGGAGAATACATTCCACACTTACAGGAAACTTGATTTTCACCCATTACTGGGTATCCGCATGTGGTTGCCATGTCATTTATTGCTAATTTAAGAAGGTTAACATTTTTCCTGTAATTTTCTGAAAATCTGTTGCTTAATAAACTATAGTATATTGGGACTTTGGTTTACAATTGAACACATTTTGTGATATGTTCACTGGCTTCCTTTACCTTGGGAAAACATAAAATTCTCTAAGGAGCACAGAGACAGAAATTAGTTCCAAAATAAGATGTTAAAGTATTTTTACCAATTCAGTATTCTTTTTTACTTTTAATTTTTATTAGCACATGTTTAGAGTCCATAATGGCTACATCATCGTGGGGAGTTGGTACAGTATGTAACACGTCTTAGTTCTTTTTCATCCCTCCCCTTCTCCTCCTTCCCACTTTCTGCACTTCTTGCTTTCCTTCCCAGCATTCTTTGTTTTTTCCTCGACTGTATCATTCATTAATTTAGTGAAATGAGAGATTAAGACTGTAGCATTCCTGTTGCACATGCTCTGCTGCCATTCTCTGCTGTTGGCATCCGTGCTCAGTCTTGGCAGAGGTGTGAAAGAGAGGGTGTTTCTTATCACATGCTTGCTCCTGTCTTTGTGCTGCCCTTGGCCACCCTGGACTGGGTATTACTTTGATTTCCCTCATTTCAAAACTTTTCACTCAGTGCTTTTTTTCAAGAGTCTTATGAGATCACCTATTACTGTAAATCCACTTTTCAGGAGAAGAAGGAAGAGAACCAATGATAAGAGATGGTGTCTCTTTAAACTGTGGCTTCTAGAATCGTCTTAACTATGTGAGGGTGGCTGACCACTGCCCAGGTTGGTGTCCTCTGCTGAGGTTGCTCTCCCCTGCTGCTCCCTACATCAGCAGCATTCTCTGAAGCTGCAGGCAGTGTGACCACCTCTCTCGGCAGCTAGAGCCTTTGTTTCTTGCTAGAGGTTCCCATGACATTCTTATGATACTATGCTCACCATCAAGGCTACTGCTCCCACCTGCGTGGGAGTTCTTGAAGCCTTGGTGATGTGTCAGTTGAGAGAAGCCCCAGCACCCTCTAGATGCTAGTCACTTAAAGGACTATGACGGATATTGGAGTTAACCTTCACTTGTGAGAGTAGCTCAGAGACTCTGTGCTCATACTGTGTCTGACGTGCGCTATTCAAATGGAACAGAATTGTTTTTTCTACCCACCCCAACTGATCTCTTGAGCTGTTTTTTTCCATTATTACCCATGTCTTTTAACTAGTGTTTAGAGTGCTGCACAGCTGTTTTGAATGAAAGAAGCCCAATTTTTTCTTAGATTGGAGCTGGAATAGTGCAAATGGCAAACCCATATTCTTCTGAGGCTTTACTTTCCTTTTCTCAGTATGACACATTGTTATTGAAATAAGCTTGTGGAATGGGATGATCTTACTTATTTAGGTGGACTCTTTGCTTTTGTGTGTGTGTTCTCAAATCCTTAAATAGTTAATTACCTCATGGTTAGTTCTGCTACCTTTTCTATTCTCTATACCAGACAAATCTGGATCCAGTAAGCAATGAGGTTTGGAATAACGTAAAAACCCAACTTGACCAAAGTGAAAAGATGTTTTGAGATATGATGCAAGGAGAAAAGGGTCTGCCTTTAAATCTAACACAAAAAAAAGCAATTGCATACGACCAGTTTGTTCCATTCTACAATGAAGTACACAGTCCTATTATATATGGTAAGATTCCATAACAGTTGGTAACTTGCCCAAAATCTTTTTAAAACATTGACTAGAAAACATAAAAATATTCTCAGCCACTAAAGTGTAAAGTTAGTATAAGGCCAAGCTTCTGTTCTTCCTAACTTGAATGAAAAAATTTCCAAACTGTTATTTTCTCTTACTAATGTTTATTACTATGTTAATCAGGGTACTGTCAAGAAGTAGGTGACACTCACATTCGATGATTTGAGAGTTTGCTAGAGGCAGTGTGCAAAAGTATCTGCATTGCTTAGGAAAAGTGCTAAGAGATGAGCAGTCCCCTGGGACTAGTAACATTTAGACACTAATGTCACTGCTCCATTCTAAGGGCAACAGTATGAGTGGTTATTATGAAACTAATATCTTCAAGGAGGGCTGAATGGTCCAGGGCAGGCTGCCAGACAAGGTCTGTGCCCTTCAGTAGAGCAAGGTAGCAATCTATGGTGATGTACTAGGGGGAAGAAATAGCCTGACCCTCTTCTATTCCTTGGTTTCCTGTCATAATCCCCATTGGCCAAACCAAAAGAGAAGCCAGGGCCCTGGGAACCACTTGAAGGCACCCTGTAGGAAAGCCAACAGGGGCCAGAATATGATGCAGAAGTCTGGATAGTGGAGCTAGAGACACAAATCAGTCTGCACAGTTACACTGCCAGCCATCAGTGGCCAGCTGGCCCCAAGAGACAGAAGTGTCTGAATTTTGCATATAGAGTCTGCACGCG